TCGCGGCAAGTTATTTCGTGAATGAGAGGCTTCGAGCCGTGTCTAGTTGACCGAAAAGGGGGAATAAATAAATGGATTCCGTGTTGGCCCGTTCGGATGCCGCTGTGGCTGCCTTGCTTGAAAGACAATGACGGCTCTACAAGGAGAACAACTTCAAGAACATATGTATAGATATAGGATATATACTGATAGCGTGACCTTAAGTTTTTAGCTGTTGCCTAACATACTGCTACCCGAGAGATAATTAGATTCTGAGATCTAGATATCCTCAATACGATCTAGTCCTATAGTTGGCTGTATAGCCTCGATGCCACGGATGACCCCCCTGAACGGGGCGAGCGCTCTCCGCGTATTGCGGCGGCCATGGGAAAGCTTCGGGAGTCAAAAATCTCACGTTCGGTCTTGAAATCCGTGCATTGGCTTGTTGTTTTGTTATTACCTTCATGCGATACGATTTACATTGACTATACTTAGTGTAAGGCTAGTCAAAAGCCAAATGACTGTGTTCCGCGTATCAATTGCCTGCACTTGCTACACGCGTATATGCAAGGGGAGCTGAGCTAGCAAGGCAGTTCCGCGGAAAGGAGCACTTGCGATTGGTTCCAGCCTTTTCAGCTTACGTGTGAGCGTTGACCCGCGGGATGAGGCTTAGCCACCTATCTTGGTAGACTACCCAAGTAGGGTTAGGAAGGGCGGCCGGGAATCGTGGGCCTGAGTTAACGGCATTTTAGAAGATAGAGGGGCTATACATTATAATCAGATATGCCCAATGAAAGATAATACCCCTCAGATAATGGCATCCAGTTGAGCCCACTTCTATTCAATATTTATGTGCACTGCCCTACTCAAAGATGTGCCGGGAGAGTAGCAGTAGCTTACTTTATAGTAGACTACGTAAGATACATGTTTCTGAAGCCTAGTTGTCATGCTCTCGTACTAGGAACTAACATATTGCACTGAAGTTACAATCTCCTTTATTAGACTATACTCAGACAACCTCAGGGTGCTGTCGTACGCTGGAAAATATCACCCAAAGCACTCTTGGCAGTAGTCCGCAATCCGATGCTGCCTCGGTGAACAACGTCTGGCTTATTGCTAGCTATTGTATAGTATCGGTACTCAGCTGTTCGGAGGGTCGCACATGGTGCCGCCTAATGCTGTCGGAGCGGCGTCGCTAGACAAGACTTCAGGATTATATAAAACTCGCTGGTAATAAGGACAGTCACATCGAGGCACAAAGCTGCGTGTCTGAGCCTCATATGGCGAATATAGGGGCGAGTATGCATTTCTGTTGTCGCACGGAAAGGTGAGATCTCATCGTGTTCCAGTCCCTGGACATGATAGGAGAGATCGGCTGGAACAACATGCCCACTGCTTGGTAATACATATTATGGTCGTAGAGCGAATGGACGTTACAAATCTAATAATGCCCTTCCTCGATTGATACTGATCATATATGTATTCGAGTAGAACTTTGCGAAGTGCACATTACCAACAGTGGTTAAATTTAGCAGAAGTATCATTATTACTTTCAGTTTAAGAAGCACACATTCAATTATCAGATACAGTTGGTTTCGTGGTGTAGTTGGTTATCACGTCAGTCTAACACACTGAAGGTCTCCGGTTCAAGTCCGGGCGAAATCAGAAGCTACTCAGGTAGTTAGTATTCTTTTTTCTTTTGGTCCTTCTAACAGTTGCTGCAGTTGGCCGTTAACATGGCTCATTGTGCTCTTGTTTGATGATAACGATAGCTTCCTCGCGAGGATTCCGATGCGAGGTGGCTGAAATGACCATCCTTGTTTAACCCGCCTGATGGCTAGCTATGATCAACTGTAGAGGTTGTGCGTTTAAAGTCGTTACGTTATCGAGTGCATACCACTATCTGCATCTGAGTTGATAAATTGACTATACCGTAAGGTCGAACGAAGCCTGGTTGTTAGAGTGGTTTTTTGGGCAAATTAGAGTCTAGGTTATCAAGCACGTCAGTCTCTGCCTCCACCACGACCAAGGCTACCACTACCACTGCCTGCCATTGCGTAAGTAGCCTACCGTCTATCTTACAACTAGTCTTACGCGTGTCTCCTGCGTAGCTCGTGCGTGGAGGATGCTACCGTGGAGAAAATGCTCCTGCTCCATATACTAACATCTTGCGGTGACCTACCACTAATCCAACCTCACTCTAGTACAACTTGCGATATCAAACTTGGAGGCTAGATTTCAACGCCAAACCCGGTTTCAAGCAATGTTTACTTTACTGCAAAGCGGACAGTCACATCTTGACCAATTGCCCAACGGTCTCTCTATGGACGATTAGTGTAAAAGGAGGCTGTGATGAGCACTGGAGGTTCATGCTCAGATAGCTCAACCAACAGAGAACTTCTCTGCCGGTCACCCAACAGAGACCGGTCATGTAGACCCTGACGAACGAGGCTACCGCATCCCGGCCAGACAGCAGGGTCTAGAGCCCATCCCGCCCTCGGTGCCAATTTCAGGCGAGCCGATCCAAAGTCAACCAGCTAGTTTCTCAGTCCCTGGGTTTCCGGGTCGATACGATGACGTTCAGTGGAAATGCCCGAAAATTGATCTGCGCGATGTATGCTAGATATTTATCTACCCTTTAATCTGATTCTAAAGAGTTTTCTAGGCGGTTCACTCAACTCCCAGGATTCGATTCTTATCTCTCTTGAATGCGTAATGCCTCGCTCTTTGCCATGATATTGTGCAAGGCAGAGTAGCTAGCAGTTACTCCAACTTGTACATGCGACATATAGCCCTTCACGGCGGTGTGGATAAGATTGCCGATGGTCTTTTTGATATGATGCGGTCAGTAATTCGAGACCTCTCAGGAACGATGTGTTGTACGGAAGCCTACGCGCTCACGGGAGGTCACCTATGCGAGGCCCCGCGAACTTCATGACCCTTCGTATAGGCATGTAGTCGAATTGCAGGATGTCTTGGACGAAGCTATTCGGAGACTGAGACATACGGCTAAACCTTCTCATGAAGGAGGTTTAGGTTCGCAGGACTCCTGTATATACAGACTAGTTAGCCCTCCAAGGGACAGAGGGTCTTTTGGGGGGCTAAGGGGTCACTATGCGCTCACAGAATATTGTTCTCATATTGAGTCATTCTCCAAGCCCTGTATTCAGCCCTTGTGATACGATGATTGCGCTTAAAACTCTTATCGACAGTGAATTCCAGTCTGAGTCCTGGCCTGGGTCTAGCGTTTATGCTAGCTTTATTATAGACGACCACCCTGACGAATCTTCCGGGATGTAGGTAAGGCAATCTGAACAACTTAAAGTGCTGTTACTTTGGGAGAATTGTCAGGCCATCTTGAGCGGGAAATACTCAGTTTTACATCATTATATTTTCTGGCTTAATAATGGCCATCGAACCACTATGCTCTTACTGCTCTGGATCGGCCCACCTGAAGCAAGATCGGAGGAATTATTAGCAATGCGATTTAACCTCACAGAAGTGCTCTTCTGTAGGGCCTTCGGTACTCACCACAGATGCTTGTTATGCAATATTGAACAGCAGACCCGAGGAGGTTCTCACTTGGGACGGAACTTGGGCGTTGCATCCCCTTTGTCGCAAGGACGATCTTCTTCTTCTGAGACGCGGTTGTTGATGGTGTCGCCGCTGCTATCGGAATCGGATGACACCCAGATCTCCCACTGGTTATCCTTTCGTGAACGCACGAAGGCGACGAATCGCAGTTCTGGCAGGTCTTTCACTGGGTCCGATAGAACTACGAGACAGCTTTGAGGGATACCATTGAACATGACAAACCCGAGGTACTATCGGGGAATATACATGCTACAAGCCACCCACCAGATTGCGAAGGAAACGGAGGGCTGCCCATTCTTGGGAGTCTAAGTGCTTCGATAGCCTTCGTGTTGGGGACCTGGATGGCACAACGGCAGCCATGAGTGTCAAGGTTCAGGTGTGTCATCACAGGCCTTACCACCGGCCCTCGAACATTCGGGACAGGAGAGGAATACCCTTGTTTGGACACATGATCTGCATCGTTTCACTCATGTGACTACCTCAAAAATTACATGCAGCCTCGAAAGACACTATGTACACTCACTGTTAAATGATTGATACCAGCTCTGTCATTGTCGTTCATGTGAGAGGCTCCTATGCAGAGGAGGCTACGCGAAAAAGCAGGTGCTTTTGCCCTATGTCTAAACTGATAGTTAAGGAGCATTGTACCTCTTGATCCGCTGTCCTCAATTGCCAGCCGGTGTTTGCCACCAAAATAATTGAGAGACTACAGCGACTTCTGAGATTATCAAACTGTCCGGTACTATCACTGAAATAGACCAACTCTGTTCATTTCTTACAGGGAAGTACTGTATTCTCGACAATTCTGAACAATGGGCAGAAGCAAAACCGGACTGTCTAAGGATGACCGCCGAGACTCTTGACCTTAGCACCAAGTTGTGGTTTGCTGAGAAAGGATTTTCAGACAACAAAGCTATTCGTAAGCTAGAGAACCTCGCAGGTTGTTTGACATATGGGCTACATTTGTTGCAATGCCTGCCTCGAAGACCGGACGCGTACGAAGTGGATAATAGTTGAGAAGCATCGCGACCCTCCAACTCACGAGTACCAAAATAAGCCTATGGAATATCCACTGATTCTAAGGAGGCTGCCCAAAGACGTTGCCATGAGATCATCGATAGGGCAAACCAAGCGTGGCAAGAAAGAAAAGTAGAGCAAGAACGCCAGCCGGGCGCGATAGTCATAATCGAAGAGGGCGATTAGTCCGTCAAAACCAGAACATCTCAGCCCACCAGCCGCCCTTCTCCCTCTTTAGAGAAACTCGAGATTTATTAATGCAATAAGAGCTGAGCTTTATCCAGGTCAGGATGCAGGTGATAAAACTGACCAACTTGGATAGGCTAAGGATTTGCTGGTGGGCTCGTCAACTAACTCAATTTAGATGAAGTCTGGGACGCAATTGACATCCTTGCTACATAGCATAATGGGGCGTGATGGCCGAGTGGTCTAAGGCGATAGACTTAAGCTTTGCATGCATTCTATTGGGGAGACCCGCGCGAGTTCGAACCTCGCTCACGTCAATACTTTTTTTTTCTTTTTCATTTTAGACTACGGCATAAACTAAGAGCATGAATAATCAAATCCATAGTCTATTACTTTTCATAGTTGGCATTTCCATGGTTGTGAAGATTGAGCCGCTTGGTTGGGTGTTTGGGTGGCCGTGCTACTTTTGGCTGCTGATACTTGATTGGCCTGACGTTGCTGGACAGCGTGCTGCCACCGGCTTAATATCGCCAAGAGTCCGTCAAATTCACTATATTTGATGTCACGGAGCCACGTAAATTGGCTTAAGTTAGGGTATACAGTGGATCTAACTCAACTACAAGAGTTGACGACGACATTAAATAACCAAAGGCTTGAAAGTGTCATGAAATAAATATCTAGCTATGGTAACTGATTATGAGGGCACTTTACTAGTGTTCAAGGTAGTATGGGCCCAAGGTCCGAGCGGCGCGTAACGAGTCTGCCGGGCGCTAACGATTTAAAGGAAAACAACGCTGCCCCTACCCTACTACCTATACATGCACGATATACTGCGTATTTTCTTTTTTTATTTGCAGGATAGCGGGAAGACTATAAGTAGGTGGTCGCCGCCGTGTGCTTGTCCTTCCATTTTGCTTTGCTAACGATCTCATCCAGATTGTCTCTGCACAGGTCTATATCGTTATGTGCCTGGACCGAGTGATGGCTCAATAAGAGCAATACCACTAAGTACCTAGGTAAGCAAGTAAGTGGGTATGCTGCTCTTAGGTGATAATGTAGCGCAAGTAAGCGCTGGGTACAGTCGTGGACCAGGTGAAGCGAAACGAATTGGAGACGAAAGATGGGGCTGAACAGGACCATGACGACAGTGATTGGCCTACCTCTGGCCACCCCTGTTGCTACCCCGGTCTCCTGTCTCGACCTATCCGACCCCTCGAAACCACATCATCTTGCCGTCACTCCACTTCTCCGACTGTCCCTGTTACATCGCCAGTCGATCCGACAAACCTCTGAACCGCCCTAACTCATCTGTCACTCGTTTAGATTACCTGATGGCGGCCTTCGGGGCGGTGAACCCCCTCGAACCTCGAGGCTTCTACCAGCATTACCATCATGCTCATTCACTCATTCATGCTTGGTGCCCCGTGCAGTACCCGTGCCGAGGCCTCGCCAAGGGCGCTTGCCAGGCACGCTTCGTCCCATCCCCTGTGTCAGGGCCGTGTCTCGAGGCCCTCGACGTCGCTGCTGCTGTCACAAACATGGCCACTGGCGCCGTTTGTGCCTCGGGCACCGTTCTAATACAATTCGGGGTCGCACACCCCGGCCAGCACAGGGTAGAATCTACCGACAGACATGGCAACGCGAACAACACGAAGGCGACCCCTTCACAGACTGCGCCGTGAAATTTGATGCGAGCTGTTTTGGGCTCTCTAACATGTGGCACACGTCATGATCATACTCCTGGGCATATGATACGATTCATGGCACGGTGTCGTCTGGCACGCGATGATTGAGGAGTGAAGGGGTCATGTTTCTATTATAGCGTAAAGATGCTATGAGCCTGGTCGACGAGTTTCGTTTCTGTGCCTGTCAAATAGTAGGCCTCGCCTTGCCAGTTTCTTGTTTCTGCCCCCTCTTTCTCTTAACGCCTCAACGCTATGATCTTCTCTTCTTCCCCTTCTTCCTCTTCTGTTTAATCATTAACCTTCCATTCTTTGCTTGAAGCCAAGCCGACTGATTTTTCCACCTGCCGGCAGGCTCATTTCCCTTCTACTATTAGATTTTGCCTTGGTGCTGCACTTGACATCTGGGTCTCATTCATTTCTTCCGTAGCTCCATTCACTTGTGTGCCTACCAAGCTCGACCTAGGCGTCGTCGCTCTTTAACGATTTTCTTGGACGACCGCAGGCCGGATTTCATATCATAATCAATCCCTAATTTACTCGGTCACGAACCAGCATTTATTTTCAAACTTCTCCTGCTACCTACAGAGCCAACATGCTGTGGATTACCGCGTCTATTGCGTCCCTACTTGCGATGCAGGTATATGGTGCTCCGAGCATCATCGTGAGGGAGATCGTCGGTTCAAGCAGGTCTTCTTTAGAGAGGAGGATGGAGGAAACAGCCTACGGCTCACTGGAGAGGCGACAAAACTCGACGGAATCCTTGAACATGACACAGTGGGACAGCGATACTATCTCGGCCTGTATGAGCACGCTATCCACGCTCTCTGCTGCTAGTAATCCCTCCGGCATGGCTGTTTGCTATAACGTGGCCCAGCTGAATACGGATCTCGGCGAGTTCATGGCTGATTTAAGACTCTTTGAGATATCGCCACCTTCAGGCGCTTGGGAGGGAATCCCACTGCAACAGATGCAGGGCGGGTTGACATTTACTGGAGCTACCGCTTCCGAGATTAATGGACAACAGGTGGCGGCCCGTAATATGGCAGGCGAGACACTCTACAGGCGTCAGAGTTCAGCTCCTATTCTTCATCGGACTTACATGATTGTTGGCCGGATTAATCAGGACCAGATGATTCCGCCTATGACAATGTATGACCCTCCAGTCCCTCTTCTAGTAATATGCCTTCGCTTTGCTAACCTCGTCTTTAGTCAAAAGATAGAGCCCTTGATAATGCCAATATTTACGCTCACGGCCCAGGACTCCACGGGTCGGACCATTTCCACAAATGTTTCTGCCAATGAGGCAGCCTTTGTGAATGGTATATTCGCCAAAGAAGTTGTCTTGTCGCCTTTCAGCCAAGCCTCTCTGGCCGCTCAGAACATCACAGCGGAGCTCGAGGCTGGCAGAGTCCCGTTCGTCCTTCCAGGAGTCAATCTTTTGATCTTCCCGATTGGCTTGGTCGTCACTGGTTTCTGGACATTAGTCGGAGTAGGCGCATACGCGTTCGGTACCTATGAGCGATACAACTATCGCGAATCGTATCGCAGGAGAAAAGCCATGTCTGGGGGCAAGGCTTATGCCACTAGGATATAAAATGACGGTGGTCTCAATTCCATAGATAGTCTAGGGCCACCAGCGCCAAAGCTTTCTTCATAGCGTCCTGGGGCTCATTGGCAGTACGGCAACCCGCCTTTAGATAATTAAACTTCTTTTCTATTCATGGAACTTGAATAGTCCTTCGGCGCAGCACATTTATATATAATAGCCATGAGGAAAGGCGGCACCACTTACGTAGAACGTCTTCGTCTTGCTGAAGCAGAAACGTTTCTTGTCTTGTCTAGTACAATTGACTCCGAGTAGGCTAGATGAAGTTCATGTCCCAATGTGGCGAAAGAATAGCTCTGTCGCCGCAAGCCACTATTGCTGCACGCAGAGTCCTTCTGCAACCTGAGGTTCCAAATCCTTGGGCCGTGCAGGCCCACCACGCCGGCATTAACTACAGCGTGGGATCAATCCTGCTCGGTATCAGCCGATGTGGGAATTGCGCCCCAACCAAGTCGACTTCCGCCGCCGAAGAACAAAAACGAATGACGAGTCAGGCAGCCAGTTCCTGCAGATGTGCCAAGACGAGAACTGGCAAAGGTATGCATTACTTTGTCCCCTCTGTAATACACTATTTCAACAAGAACGAGGGTTGAGCTGGGTTCACACACCTACTAGTATCTGCTTTGCTTACATGGCTTTTTCTTTCAATTTCATTTGCAGCATCAACGCGATCTCCTCTACACGCTACACGAGCTTGTTACAGCCATGCGTCGGATTCGGCTTAGCTGACTGTGTCCGAAATGTTCCATGTCATGAGTAGGAGCCGAGCGAGCGACGGTGCCGCGAATCTACAGGATATAACGTAGGAAGCCTGTGGCTGACGCTGTCATCACCTTTGCGATTGATGATTGTGGGGTTATAAGCATAATTCCTGAATGTCAAGTTTCCGAGCCGATCGTATTGCGGCTGATGTTATTCCTCATAGGAACGCTACGAGTATAACACATAAGATGAACATTGAATCGGCCACTGACTTGCTTCAAACCTCTAGAGCCATCATCGTATTAACGTTCACACGGTTGCCGCATGAGACCCATGATCATAATCGCTGTTTGTCCGCGATGCACATTTGCACTTTTGATTTCATCTAGGAATAGGAACACACCATTTGCTGATATACTCCTGTATATATGTACCTTTTTGTTGTCACCGTAGAGACACCAATCCCTCCATTAAAAGGGTACCAGGTAGCGATGGCCAGTACCTACTTAGTAGGTATGGTGATATATGTAGATGAACAGGATGTAAATTGCAATGTTTGTTCACACCAGTGTTATTGACGCCCGCCTACACTTAGTCATGCAGTGTATTCCGTCATGGCTTTTTTCGATAGACAGCTGGCATATTTTAGGTATAAGAACTGTTTTCAAATGGAAGCTACATCCTCCAAGTTGCATTAGTGCCTGCTCAGGTAGATGCCAAACATCAGCTTCCACCTGCCCTGTCAAGGGGACTCCTGCTGCCTGCTGCCTTCGGTTGACATATATATAGGTACACATGTACCTTCCTACCTTCATATTCCTACCTTTCTGCCTTCCCACCAGCTGAGCTCTATCGCGTCCTCTTATTCACCACCGACGTCAAGAATAGCCCAGGTTACTCCTACCTGCGTATATGTTGAAGATTGTGAATCCTTTCACCCAGCATAAGCGCGTCTACTAGAGTCGAAGCTTCCATATTTCAAAGATACCTAGGTAAGTAGCACCGAACATACCGGACGATATGGAGCCTCCGGTCTCATCCGCTGGCCGGTCTAGCGACAGCACAAGCCGAGATATGACCTCGACCACGCCTCCTACTGCAGACAGTGACAGCCATAATCGCAGCTACAGCCGCAGTCACATTTTCTCGCCATTCAAGTCGCTGCCGCGAGCCGAAGAACATGCAGAAGAACATACCGATGGTGTAGACGATGTCTCGTCACGCCTTCTAAAATCCTTGCTTTCATCATCATCATCATCATCAGGATCGCTATCGCAGTCCGCTGACACGGCCAACAATGGCACTCCCTCCAAGTCCCACCGAA